TCCATGTCAGTTTCACTCCAATTACTGCTATTAGAATGAATATCAACTAGATTTTTGATTACTAGAGTTACCTGGTATGTATACATGTATTATGTGTGTCTAACTGAACAATGAGTAGATAACTATAAATCTGGTAACACCATTCTTGTGATATTGGAAGTACCATGGCTAGCTAGTAAATTACACTGTTTATAAGTGCAGTCTTGCTATTATAACACATTTTAGCTTTCATTCAGTCCTCTCTGTGATCACTCCAACTTTTATTTCATATACCTAATGTCTGGGTGTTTCCTCTTTCATGCCACTTCCCAGAAAGTGAGTCAGATTCTGATTTCACATCTTCTTACCAAGCAGAGATGAAGAATAGTTCCACTAATGACAGTGGAGAGAACACATACAGATCTTATAATTGTCTTTAACTGCTTTTTCTTTTTTACGTGGTGTTTCGAGCTTCTATGGTCCCAAAGCAACCTTTGGAAAGATGTCCCTTAGGCAATTAACATGTCAAGGTCTGTCGAAACTGGCTGCACATCTGAACTACCTTCTGTAGCAGCTCTGAGGGCACAGCAGGATCTGGGGGCACGTTTGTTCACCAGAGCACCCCAAGGGATGACGAGGTTGAATGGTTACAAACTACTGCAAGACCGATTCAGGCTGGACATAAGGAAGAATTTCTTTACTGTCCGAGCCCCCAAGTTATGGAACAGCCTGCCATCAGAGGTGGTTCAAGCACCTACATTGAACACCTTCAAGAGTAAATTGGATACTTATCTTGCTGGGATCCTATGACCCCAGCTGACTTCCTGCCCTTCAGCCAGGGGGCTGGACTCGATGATCTTCAGACGTCCCTTCCAGCCCTAATGTCTATGAAATCTATGAAAGTGTCTGTCCTGTTTTTTGCAGCATTCCTGAGAGCACTGCCAAGAAGCACCTGCCCTCCCACCCCCTCTACACCTTCCTGCTCTACATGTGTTTTATTTCCAGGTTTGGCAGTGAAACAGGCTGGTGGTATGTCCCACAGCCACTCTTGAGCCATTTTGTCTCCAGTATGCTTGAGGGCTGGGAAGGGGAGCACCTCTGGGGCAGCTTCACTTCCTCATTCCACCTATGGACTGTGTGAGATGCGCTTCTCTGCAGCGCTATCAGGAAAGCAGTTCAGACACATAGCCAGTTCCAGCAGACCTTGACATGTTAGTTGTCTAAGGGACATCTTTCCAAAGGTTGCTTTGAGACCATGGCAGCTAAAAACATGACTTTAAAAAGAAAAAGCAGTTAAGGACAAATAAAAATCTGTCTGAGTTTCCCACCTCTCTAGCCCCGCCCTTCCCCACCCACCCCCAGCTAGCATAACTCCATTGACAGTGTTGGCCTTCAACATGTTATTACTGACTTCTGATTTGGTACCTACAGAAACAATTTTGAGGTCATACCTCAGAGCTATTGAGTCCTCTCAGATTTATTTCTGTAAGTGTCAAATCAGAAGTCAGTGATAACACGCTGGATGCCAACACGGTCAATTATTACATGACCCAGAGTGCATTCCCATCACAGTCCATTCACAAAAGAAATGAAAGGTCAAAGGACCATTTCAGACAAGGCATCTAAAAATATCAGAGACCCAATCTGATTCTATGATTAATTATATATAGACTACCTTTAGAGGTCATGGCCAAAAGCAATGTGTCTGTTGCACCAAGAATTTCTACTGACAAGTTACTAGTCAACAGACAAATTTAAATCCTTCCTTTCAATGCTCAGGATAATATAGAAATGTAATAACATTTCCCAATGTCTTTTTCAATACATATTTCAACAATGCATCTACCCTTCTGATGCACTATTTTTTTTCTTATTTAGCAGACAATAACTCTTGGAATGTCTATTAGAAATGGCCAAGCTGGAATAAAACGATTATTGGGTGGCATAGCTGGACTTCTTGGGAGGATAAGAAAAAAAATACCCCCTAACCCCCGCATCCCTGCAAACACAGTAAATTTTGTTTTGTTCCTTAGATGTGCAACTAATTTTCATACTTCAAGAAATACAGAAATGTGCATATCAGGCCCTGCAGCTCTCTCCTCCCCAACAGTATACTGAAAGGAGTAATTCCTAAGGCTACACAATGTTGATACACACCAGATTCATCATGATAGTTCACAGCTTCTGTCTCCAACCAGGCATTATCTGTGTTACGAGGATCATCCACATATCCCTTATAAACCTAACAAACCAAAATAAAATAATCTGAGTACCACAACAAAGTTAGATGACACAGAACCATAGAAGTTTCCACCATGGTAAAGAATGATTTTAATTTAAACCTGCTTGTACTGTTGTGCATGCACCCTCAAAAGCTTCTCTAGTTTCATATCTCACAACAATCTGATCACCAGTGGACACCACACATTTTCAGCCACTCTTCTCATGCAGTTGGAAAAAATGTTTAATATTCCTAAATCATAACCATACTGTTTTTTTCAACCAAATATGATTCCTAAATCATAACCATACTGTTTTTTTCAAATAAATATGCCCATCCTCTCTCTCTCTCGCTATGCATCTTACATGAGGGCAGCTGCCTATCAGCATCAACACACCTCACAGAATTTGAAGGAAAACAGTCTCAAAACTCTCCTTACCCTAATGTCTTAAAAAAGAAAAAACAAACAAACTGAAAGTGATCGTACAACTGGTCAGCCAAGATTTCTGTCCATCACAATGACCATTGCAACCTCATTTTTCCCTTTTGACTGAATCCACTTAGTATCTCGTCCTCATAATTCCAGTGATGTTCCAGTTGTCTCTTCTGCACGATGCTGTAGTCTGCAGAGATACACAAGTTGTCTAACTGGGGCTGAATGGAGCTCAGCATGAGCTAATTTACCCTGCCAAGAGAGGGCAAAATATCCAGCACACAAGTTCCAGACAGCTTCTGGTACCAGGAGTAAAATCTTTAAAAGCAAGCACATGTAACCCTGTATTAAGATGCTGTCTGCCCTGTGGACCCTTAGGCTCTAGACAAACATAACTATTCACTAGTATTCGATTTGGATTCAGATTCGGCCCAATTCGGGGGACAGGGATTTGATTCGCTGATTCGGATCACTGTCCCAATTCTATTTGGCCAAATCCGAAGATTCGATTTGGCCGAATCCGAAGATTCGATTTGGATTCAGAGAATCAGCGATTCAGCCACAGACACAACTTTAAATGTTTTTTCTACATACCTCGAGGTACCAGGCGCGGCTCGTGAACACTAAGATGGTGGAATGGATGGAGCATCCCACAGGAATGTAGGGGCACCCCCCCCACCCCACATGCTCAGTGGTGGACCAGAAAGTGGACTGGAAGTATGAGGGGCCATGGGGGAACCCCGGGTGCCCCCCAGACCCAGGAGGCACCAGTCGCCAAGTGGGTCTGCCGCCAAGCGCGCAGGGGACCCCCCTGCGCTCCTGTGGAATGCTCCATCCACTCCACCATCTTAGTGTTCATGAGCCATGCCTGGTACCTCGAGGTATGTAGAAAAAACATTTAAAAGTTGTGTCTATGACAATCGCTGATTCTCTGAATCCGAATCGAAGTGCAGGCAGTTGTAGCTTTTTGGTAATTCGGAATCAGATCTGCATTGAAAAAATGCAGCAGATCTTGCTGAAAAAAATTTAAATGATTAACTGAATAACAGCATGAGAAGAACTGAGAAGAAAGACTATTCAAAAATCATTTTTGTTTCAGAATGCCATTTAAGCATATGAGACTTTGACTGTCTATCTGCAACAACTTCATAGTCACCCGTTGATACTTTTAGCAGCAATGTTGCACCTAAACATATTTCAGACAACAAAATATCAGTAGCAAGCAAAAGATTTCAATCATCCAGTAAAACCACCACCATGGATGGGTTTATAACAAGGACCAGCAAATAACAACAGGACACCATACATGAAAAGGTTGCTGGGTTCATTTAAGCCACAAATTCTCCTTTTTGCATTGTTAACAATAAACACTTCATTGACATGGTTGAGACCTTACGACCAGACTACACTCCACCTGGTAGAGCAGACATTGGTGGAAGGTTGCTAGATACAGTGTACGAGAAGGAAGTTGAACAGTGTGCAAGAAATTCTCAGGGGAAATTTGCCAGTTTGAGCCTTGATGGGTGTAGCAATGTACACAGTGATCCAGTAATGTGTGCTTGTGTGACAACAGAAGATGGGGTTGCATCTCTTTCAGAAATAATAGATACATTGGGAAATGCCCACACAGCAGAATATTTAAAACAAGTGGCAGCGAAAGGTGTAATAAACTGTGAACAAAAATTCAACTGTCACAGACAATGCTGCAAACGTGGCAAAGATGAGAAGATCCTTAGAAGAAGAAACAGAAGGATACTCCTTAACAACATATGGCTGCAGTGCCCGATTAATGCATCTTTTAGCCAAAGACTTAAGTACTTCTCCAGGAATAAAAAAAAAAAAAAAAGTTGTTGAAGTTGCAAAATACGTCCATAACAACCCTTTTGCTTCAGCTTCACTGAAGACAGCAGGAGGATCCAAACTAATTCTCCATCAAGATGTTTGATGGAATTCTGCAGTTGATTGTTTTGAACAATTTATTAAGAACTGGCCCATTTGCATAAAAATTTGTGAAGAAAACCATGATAAAATAGATGGAAGCATCTCATCCAAAGTATCTAGCATTGGACTAAAGAGGACTGTAGAGGTTAAACTTAGTATACTGAAGCCTATATCCATAGCCTTAAACAAACTTCAGAGACATTGTTGCTGCTTTGCTGATGCTGTCAAAATTTGGAAGGCGCTTCAAGAGACATTGAAGAAAGAAATACCTAACCAGCAAGTTAAACTGCAGGCAATAAAGAAGCGAATGGATCAAGCACTAACTCTACCTCATTTTCTCGTGAACATTCTCAACCCCAGATATAAAGGCCTAACTTCTGAAGATGATGCTGCTGCCATGGCATGGGCATCTCAAAAATCACTCCTCAGTTATGCCAGTCATAAGTTTCAGGGCTGGAGGGGAACTACTTAAACAGTACACGTTTACTGATGATGTTTTAAACAAAGTCACTCCCCTGAATTGGTGGAAATCATTAGCCAGGCACCTTGAAACAGAGTACCTTCAGTTGCTAAGCCAACTTTTCACAGCAGTAGCTTCCTCTGCAGGCACAGAGAGAATATTTTCATCGTTTGGTATTATTCACTCAAAAGTTAAGAAATCGACTGGGAGTTAAAAAAGCAGGAAAACTCGTATGTCTGTTTCAGTCTATGAATAAAAATGACAGTGGGAGTGGGGAAGATGAGATCTAGTTGTAGAAGTTTTAAGGACAGTGTACATTTAGTGTTGTGATGACCTGTCTGTTAGAGTTAATAAAATGTGAAAATTAAAAAAAAAAAAAAAACACTTTAAGGATACATGTTGTAAAATGCTGTATTGAGTTGTAAGTTAACATGTTTTAGTGGTCAGATTTGCACTATTGTTTAGGAAATATGTGAAGAAGTATCAGTTGGAAGCTTGATTTAAATCACCTTGATTTAAATCAATCCACCTAGAGAACGCCTGCTCACCAGGGCACTCAAGGAAAGACAAGGTTCAATGACCACGAACTCCCAGAAGACTGTTTTAGGCTGGACATAAGGAAAAACTTCTTTACTGCCTGGAACAGACGTCCCCCAAAGGTGGTGCAAGCACCTCCTCTGGACATTTACAAGAAACACTTGAATGCCTATCTTGCTGGGATATTTGACCCCAGCTGACTTCCTGCCCGCAAGACAGGGGGCTGGACCCAATGATCTTGCAAGGTCCCTTCCAGCCCTACTGTCTATGAAATCTATGAAACCAGAATATTTTCTAGGAATCCTAACTTTAAAGCTCTGCAGAACTTCTGTTTGCCCAAAAGGAAAAATCTATCTAAAAGCATTTATGTTAGCCAAGCAAGCAACTGATCAGGCAGAGGTAGAAAATGTCCTTTACAGAGTGTCCCTCCCAAGTAAACAAGGCTTTGCCCTGCTCATGATTCCATACCCAAGCAAAGATTCAACTGACCAGTTCCAAAACAAAGTTTTGTGCTAGGTAAGCCTGTTTTAAAATTCAGGATTGTCTTCAACTGCAAGGATTTCTTAGGCTGATATCCTTTATTGGAACAGCTATGCAGCAGGGATAAAATTAGACAACTTTTCAGATGCAAGGCATTCTTCCTCAGGTCCTCTTGCATTCAAAAGCTTGTCTATCCCAACTACGTAATTGGTCCAATAATGGACAATTTCTAGACCGTCACAGCTACAACTTCATTCTTACATTACCTTTAACTGCAAGGATATTTCTCAGAAACAAAGGATAAGCAGAACCCACTGCTATAACAGAACACTTTAGTCTTGTAGAAAAAAACACAAGCATTTTGTGTTGATTCAGTCTCCTGTGAATTCCACTGAGCTTTCAGTAAAGACTTTAAAGCTCACAACACTGTCACAAAATGGGAAAGGCTTACCACCAAGTGTTGCTGGTTGAAGAGTCTGTCTAATTGTTGTTCCAGCTCTTTTATCTCTGCAGCACATTTCTGCAAGGAGTTCAATGCCTCCTCACTGAATTCTCGTTTCAGTGTGGCACTAATCTTCTCTCCTGGATCCACCATACCCTTAAAAATAAATCCAATACTGATATACCTCTTGCATTCTTTCTGCTCTTGCTATTCTTCTGATCTTTATTTTGTACATCTTATTATTCCAAGTTAGACTGTATAGATACTTGAGGAATGTACAATACATTTGTAGAACATCAATGATGGAGTACTCCAACATAAACAAGAAAGAAGCACAATCTCTCTAAATAAACAAGGCAAAAAATATTGAGTGCCTATACATGAGCACAGAGGCTGCTCCAATGAGCCGTAATCACAGAGCATCAGAGCAGGCCTGATTAACTGAATCTGTTGAAGTGTGGTAATTACTCTCAGAGCTGCTTTAATTAAAGTGCTGCCCCCCTGAGCACGTGTAAAAGTGCCCATTATGTTTAACTAGAATTAATCATGTCCAACAACAGCAGAGGATATAAAATGGTGGACTTCTTTGGTAAAACTGATGTTTCTCAAGGCATTCCCATCTGCTTTGCAAGATATGGTCATTCTATACACATACTAAGTGTACATAATGCATATTTACAAGTAAGTGTAACAAATCTATACCACTTTACATTTTCATGGTATTACATTGGTCTATTTGGTGCTTTGGTTCTTACCCCTGGGATGGCCCATTCCCCACAGTCTTTCCTCTTGATTGCTACAAACTGTAAAATGTTCTTGCCAGAGACTGGATGAGCTATTCTGCTACCGCTCTTATCTCTTTTCCACCTGCAGGAATGACAAACAGGAAAAATTATTTTCCACTCCTTGGAATTGTCACAACCCAAAGTTGTGGATTTTTTAATTGTGTGTGCTTCGGCACCGCTAAATTATGTTCCCGCCGAATTGGAGCTCTTTTGCACGACGGAGTGTTCTGTTGTTATGGAGAACCCGCGTGCAGAAAAGTGTTTCCCACCATTCTGTAGCCTTCTTTGCATTGTGCATGACTTTTGCATTTAGTGATGCACGCTGCAAAGGACTTTTCCCGCCATTTGTATTGAGATTTGAGCCACATTATTGGCCGGTCTTCATTTAGGCACACATGGCGGCTAGCTATTGGCTTGCTAGCCGTACAAAAAGCTTGGGTGGTTTCCGCCCAAGTTGGAGAGAAAGACAGAGAGAGACGGAGAGACGGATCTCTAAGCACTGTGGGTCCTTTCGAACCCAGCGCGTCTTTCTTAAGAAGGCGATAGAGGCTCCAACTGCCGAACCCCCGGAGCCTAGCAAACTCCGGGGCACCACTTACCGA